GCTCATGTTCGATAGGGATTAAAATCTTAATTTTTATCTAAGTTAAAACTAACAATTAATTAAATTTAACCGCATATTTTATGGCATTCAATACTTTCAATAGCAAATTTCATTAACTTTTATCAAAATTTACTAAAAATCTAATATTAATCCCAAATAAAAAAGGATATAATTTGTCTGCGGGTGTTGTTTACTCCATTCCCAGGCCTGCACATGTCTGAATCTGCCGTCTATTTAGTCCTCCGTAGCGGTAACCATTTTTAGTTTCTTGAGTGAAATTTCAGGCCAAGTTTTGGTGTCTGAATTTATAGACTACTTGTAATCACATAACTAAACAATTTTCTTTATTTTTTTAAAATCGCGCTCATAGTTTTCATATATTTCTTGCTTCTCTCTGCATCAAGTCAAGCATCTTCCCGATTAAAGGTTCGTATCACTAGACTTTTGAAAACTCAAAAGTTACTTTTAAAGCGATAATTTTTTACCATGTTTGAATAATTATTTGATAGTATTTTGTCTAATTAAAAGAATTTTTAGAAAAAATTGACATAAATTAACATTCTCGCCTTGTCAAAAGGAATCTAAAATTATTCACAATAATAAATTGTGCCTTAATGTAATTAATTATTCTCATGATCCAGGGTTAAAAACAGAATGGAAAAAAACAGAGTGATGTGGTAAGTGTTGATTGAGGTTTTTTTTTTTTCAAAATGCTCAATCGTGCGTCGACATGTGGCGCACCTGTTTTTGAATCTGTCAATCACCCCGTCCATGTAGCACAATTGGTAATGTAATTAAAGTGGACTGCTTCTGGCAACTTTCATGGTCGAGCCCCTGTTACACCCCGTTATTCCCAAATATTCATTATTCTTTCTATTATTTTCAACAACACAATCTTCTATAAAAGATTATTACACATAGATTGAAAAAAAAAAATTCTTCTTAAATAGTATTAAAAAAAACTATAATTTAAAATAATGAGGCCCAAACGAGGGCTAAATAGCATTATCACGAATCAAGAATCCCTACTCCACCAACCCAAAATGGTACATAGCAGCGGAAGGGTATCTTATTCATCTCAAATGAAAACGAAACTCACAAAGCAAGTACGATGCTTGTTAGTGAAGCCTCACTTGGTAATAAATTCGAAAAGTTAAAATTTACTTCAAAAATAATTATTTTTAAATTTGCTTGAATAGTTTTTTGAAATAATCTTTATTCAGTTAAAAAGTGCTTTTAATAAAAATTGACCTAAAATAACTCCCAAACAGGCGTAAGTAGATTGCACATAATAGAATCTTTTTTTTTTTATTGAGATACTATGTTTGTTTTTCACATTTCATTTTTCACGCTATGTCACTTTTTCTAAATACAATCAGTGCAAAATTCCAGAAACAGTTGTACACGTAAATCTTGCACAAATTTTGCCATACCAATATAAAGGCCAAAAAGAGTTGTAATTTGGAAAGTATGTTGCATTAACGTTAAAGGAAAGTAGCACCACATGTTAAAATTTGGTCTTCTGATCATTTTTGTGAGTTGTTTTCTATTTTTTTGAGTATGTAACGAGTTATTATTTGATTCATAATTTTTATTCATACAGTTGAAAAAAGTATTCGAATTTTTTCATATATGACGTGGAAATGGTGTTGGATATAAAATTTGTATCTG